TCATCATCATCATCGTCATCATCATCATTACTTTAAATAGATATTGTGAAAATGCTTCCTTGAATTTCTGGTTTCAAAAGTATGATTACTTTAAATAGATATTGTGATTGGGTGGGAATTAGTCCACTTTTCTTTTTTTTTTTATACTTTGTATTTAAATTCATTTAAATGTGGAGTGGTATGATATGTTGGAGGATCTATAGGAAACATGTTTTTGTTTTTAAAACATGTTTTCGATCAACCTCATGGAAGTGAGACATGTTTTTGTTTTTAAAAAGTCATTTTTGTAGATTTCATAAACAAGGTTATTGATTTTTTTTTTTTTTTGCTATTTTCCAAATTAAACTCAAAACATTTTCACTTAATTATGGGAATGTCCAAAACATTTTTTTTTTTATTTTTTCATGATGGAAACATAAAAAATATCCATGTTGACTGGTTCAGATGCCCGAGGGACTCACCCAATCCTTCTCAGTCGTCTTCTGGACTTCTGGTCGAGCTCCCTCTCATGGTTGGATCAAGCTGAACTCATATGCTTCTTTCCCAATGAGGTTCATCCATTTGTTTAATCATGTGCGGAGGGCTGCCAATGGGCTGGCCTACGCTGTATCTAAATGGGCTTTAGGTATGGGGCCGAGTGCCCCATCTCCTCTTGGGCTGTCTTGGTTTGACGGCCTAGTCCAGCGTGATGTATCCTCTCTTTCTCAATCTAATGAATGGTTCTAAGTTTGACCGAAAAAAAAAATCATCTCAGCTATAAAAAAGCCGTTGTAAGTGAAAAACAAAAGAGATAAGGCTAAAAATTTATGAATATTGTATGACCTAACAACCTAAACCACATGGAAGGACCACATAAAATGAAAGTGGTACAAATTGGGGGACCTTGATCATTATTCTTTTTTCTTTTTACCTTGATCATTATTCACCTTCCACTAATTAAATAACATCTGTGATAAAAACAGCTTCATCTTCTTCAGAAAGGGAATGGGTCTACTAGATTTTTTTTAAGGGAAAATTCCCAATCAGTATCTTGTACTTTGGCTCGAGTGACAATTTCCTCGAATTTTAAAATGCAACAATCCAATATTCAAACTTTTAAAATGTGACAATTTAGTACCCGAACTTTCAAAATGTGACAATCCGGTACATATTATTAGCCAGTCCGTTAATCAGCCATTAATTGACATTTGAGAATTTAAAAATGCCCTTCGAATGCCATCTAATTCTCTTTATCAACCATTCAAACATTGACAAAAAACTTAAGAGTCCCAAATCCTAGCCTCTTCTATTCAAAAAAGTTGGTGATTGTTTAGAAGAATCTAGAATTTGGGACTTCATTTTATTGTCAATGTTCGGATGGTTGATAAAGAGAATTAGATGGCATTCAAAGGGCATTTTTGAATTTTAAAATGTCAATTAACGGTTGATTAACAGACTAATTAACAACAGGTACTGGATTGTCACATTTTGAAAATTCGGGTATTGGATTGTCACATTTTGAAAGTTTGAATACTGGATTGTCGCATTTTAAAGTTCAGGGACCAAATTGTCACTCGAGCCAAAATACAAGGTACTGATAAGGAATTTTCCCTTTTTTTAATTACTGATGCAAGATACCAACAAATGGGTCTTTAGTTGGGTTGTTTAATCATGTACATAAATTAGGATGGCTCATTTAGTTTGGGCTCAAGAAAAGGTGCTTGGATTCTTCTCTTCACCCTATTTTATATTCATGGGATAAATGGACCACCTCCAACTTCAAAATTCTTCTCTAAGACCACCTCTATTAAATACACGGGCTTAAATTTTTGTCTGCCCCATCATTCTATGCACTTAATTTGTTGTACCTAATTATCGGGTTTCTTTAATTATTTTAAAGCTATTTTTGGTAGAAATATTAGAGGGGCGTTCAACAATATCTTTGGTTTTATTTTAAAGGATAAATTGTTGAAACCTCCCCTGAAGTTTTTGAACCAATTGTCGATAAACCCCTCTGTTAGAATTTTCTAATAAAAGGTATGAAAATGTCCAAAATACTCATACAGTTACTTTTGGCCAAAATGTATGAAAGTTTAGGAAAGATGATCACATTACAAAATTTTAGGGAAGGTTTCAGCAATGGTCATAATCTTCAGGGGAAGTTTTAGCAATTTACCCTATTTTTTTTTTAAAAAAAAGAGATATTATCTAAAGCTCATCATGATAATTTTGCATTTCTCTTAAATTTATCATGAGTTCATGACATTTCAAAATCTTCAAAAACTCGCCTATATGTAATTTTCTAGTACTAGCCCTTTTTTTTTGATAAGTTAGCCCTTGCTTTGTTTGGTTGATGATATTTTGGACTTATGTTCTAATTTCTGGGAAATTTCCTTGGTCAGATAAACCAATAATATGGTTCACCGAATTGTCCAGGAGGCAAAGAAACTTTATCAAAGGCAGTGGATCGCATTGGCAATCCGATGGGACGTGTTGGTTTTGGTTTTGTGAGGTTGAGTTCACGTCAGTCCTTCACAAGGGGGCGCCCCACAATGTCCCACAACATATCTCAATCTTGCATTGAGAACATCTCCTGATGATAGTACAAGAAATGATGATAATACATTAATGAGAGATGCTCTCAATATACAGCTGAGATGTGCTTTGGAATGTTGTGGGGCGCCCACTGTGGGGACTGATGTAAATTCTGTGAGATTCCTTTGTTGACTTAGAATAAAATTGGAAAAAAAAAAGAAAGATGGATGCTGAATCATTTTTAACTTCGTAGGCCTGGCATGCATATATTTATACATATTTTGTATTTATATTTAAACATTATAATATGACACCTATGTTATTATATTAATAGACATAATATATAATATTATGTCTATTAATTATTTTATACATAAAAGTCATAGAGTTGAATTAGGACCACGGCACATGATCATACTTTTTAGTCCAGCCATGTGGCCAAATTAAGATTTTCATGTTTATTGATTAACTGTTAATACAGGGCATGAGATGACTAACGCTGTGTTTGGTTGCAATGTATTAATGCAAAATTATGACAGTGCAAATGATTTGAGTGTAAATTCTGATTCATTTTTATTTTAAATTTTAGCTTATTTTATTTGATTACAGTATAAATAAAATAACTTAAAACATGAAGCAGAATAAAATAAAATCCAAAACAAAATTAAACAAGAATTTAATTTACATTTACACTTCCATGCATTTAAAATAATGCAAATAAAATTTGCACTGCAACCAAACACAGCCTAACTTTTTCATCGACCCAGAAGCAATAACAGCCAACGATGTTCTAACCAAGAACAGAAGCTCATTACGGAAAATTAAGCCCTCTTGGAATTGTCTAGTTCTAATCTCACTTATAGAACTATAAACTGATTGTGATGTAACTGATCATGTAGACAGATGGCATATAACAGTACATCACATGCGCAGTAAACGAACTGGGTTAACCCCCCCCCCCCCCATCTGATCAGCAAACGGTGTTGAGGCTTTTAGTGGAAACCGTCTCCAACAAAACTTGGTGGATGGTGGTAAATTAATGCTTAGGACCATTGCTATAAGTAGAAGCTAGATCCCATTTGGATTTTACTTCATTGGGATAGAAAGGTGGACAAAAACTGTTCTCGGCACATGCAGTGGGTCCTATTCTTTTTGGCTGATATATGTATCAAGGAGTTAAAAAGTAATTAGATCATTTGATTGGTGATCACTGAAAGCTCCCTAGTCGCAAAGGCTTCACATTATTAATAGAATTAATTATTAGACTAACACGTCGTATATGTTGTATTTTTCCTTCAATGAAAAGAAAAAGACAATAATAAATATATGGTTAGGTTGTAAACTCCTTTTAACTTTACTAAATTAGATTCAGTGGAAGTAGACTCAAGACCAAACAATTGATGATTCCAGGTCCAAGCTAGCTACCATAATTTTCAGGTGGATCTCTCTCTCTCTCTCTCTCAGACAGACACAGATACTTTACAAAATACAATTGGGCTGCATAACATATGTAGATAAGAATCATGACGTTCTGTATTGGGTGGAGGTAGGGGTTGATAATATCCCCCAGACTACATATTGCAATCGGTGAGTGACAAGAAGGGGAAATCGGTTATTGTTGAAACTTCCACTAATTTCAGATCGCAACAGAGAGTTGTAGACAAAATGAAAATGGTTATTTGTCTTTTAGTCTCATAGAAGAAGCATGATGACTCTATCCATTTACAGACCATGAAATGGTGGTCCAGAGACCATTATTGAACATGACCAAGGATAAGAGATGCTATATCTCAAGAGTGTAATGTAGGGAATATGAGTCGGTTTCACCCCACTAAATGCATGTTACATCAACAACGTCAGTTTAGTAGTATAGATCTAAATTTGATTAAAATAGCACGATTTTGTTTCTATTTCATATAGTAAGGCAAAATGGGACAGATTCCATTCTGCATTCCCCTCATAAAAATTTTTCATTTGGGGGTTGCCCCAATTCATCTTTAATTCTAACTTACATAATCTGATCATAGGGTCAGTTGGCACTCCACCAAGTTAGAAGTAATTTTTTGCTCTTAATTTAATTAGTTAAACTGGAAGTAAAAAGGCAGAATTATATTTCCCATGAGCATGCAAACCAAATCTCGACCTTTCACAGCCCAAATCATGTAATTCCCGTGGCCATGAGCATGAAAACAGTTCGAAAGCTCTGCTTCCATTTAGTTGGCCCATTACTTGCTAGCTAGAAAGCCATATTCCCTATTTGTCGATCTGCAGACGGTTGTTATCAATTAAGACAATGTATTAAACAAATTACTCAAATAAATTATACAGTAAAATCTATGGTTTTAGAGTATACTAATATAGATTTTTGGCATGCAACCTATATATATTAATGAATTATATTGATGAAAACAGAAGGATGCATTGATTTAAAGGTCCTGCTCCGCTCAATTAACTGCAGGAGAAAGAAAATATTGGAACAGTGGGGTGGGGGGGTGCTTCTTCTTAATGTTGCTGAAACCCGTAAGCTAATTAAGCTTCTTGATAACGAAATCCTTAAAATGGGAAGAGTGTTTATCTAATTACCAGCTGAAGAGATCGAGCGGGTAGATAAAATTAGTGAAGTAAACTTAGTTAACGTCAACAATAGAAAGCTAAGAAGGAATCCATTCTCTTCTCCCACTCCTCCCTTTCCCTATAAATATATCTGGCTAGCTAACTTGTATCTGGAATCCCCCAATCTCCCACTGTTCGACCATGGCTACACTATCTCCCATTTATGTCGTCTATGTCTGCTGTCTCCTCTTCATCACTACTGTTTCACGTCTTTCCTCCACGTTGGCACAATCAGACATGTACATCATCCACATGGATATGGCAGCTATGCCAAAAGCCTTTTCCAGCCACCATACCTGGTATGCAGCAACCCTTTCTTCTGTCTCCAACAATTCTGTTGCCAATAGTAATACTGATGCTACCATCCCTACCCCTAACCTTGTCTATACCTACACCAATGCCATCCATGGCTTTAGTGCACGTCTCTCTCCTTCTGAGCTTGACTCACTCAAAAAACTTCCCGGCTATATTTCTTCCACTCGAGATATTCCGGTGACGGTCCACACAACCCACACACCCGAATTCCTTGACCTCAACCCCAACTATGGTGCTTGGCCGGCGTCAAATTACGGCCAAGATGTCATAGTTGGGTTGGTTGACACCGGAATTTGGCCAGAGAGCGAGAGTTTTAACGATGATGGAATGTCTGAAGTTCCTAGCAGATGGAAAGGAGAATGTGTTAATGCCACCCAGTTCAGTTCTTCCATGTGCAACAAGAAGCTCATTGGAGCTCGGTTCTTTAATAAAGGTCTTAGTGGTAAGTACCCCAATTTGACCTTCTCCGTGAATTCTACTCGTGACACCGACGGTCACGGGACACACACTTCGTCGACGGCTGCTGGTAATTATGTTGAAGCTGCATCCCTTTTTGGATATGCCAAGGGAACTGCAAGAGGCATGGCGCCGAGGTCTCATGTGGCTATGTACAAAGCCATCTGGGAACTCGGTGCCTACACGTCTGATATTATCGCTGCAATAGACCAAGCAATTCTGGACGGTGTGGATGTTCTGTCCTTGTCCTTCGGCAGAGATGGACTATCCTTGTATGCCGATCCTGTAGCCATAGCCACCTTTGCAGCCACTGAGAAGGGCATTTTTGTTGTCTCGTCAGCTGGAAACGAGGGACCTGAGTATGGGATCCTACACAATGGAATACCGTGGGTGCTAACTGTAGCTGCCGGTACAGTTGATCGTCAATTTGACGGAATTGTAACTCTGGACAATGGAGTTTCAATCACAGGAGCGTCTCTGTACCTTGGAAATTCGTCTCTGAGCCATGTACCGCTTGTTTTGATGAACGAATGTGCAAGTGTGAAGGAGTTAAAAATGGTGGGTAACAAGATTGTGGTGTGCGTGGACAAGAATGAATCTGTATACAATCAAGTTAACAAAGTCGAAGCTGCAAAGTTACCCGGAGGAATCTTCATATCCAATAGCTCTGATTTGGAATTCTATATTCAAACCTCATTCCCTGCGGTTTTCTTAAGCCCTGGGGACGGCCAAGCCATCCTGGACTACATTCAGGGGAGCTCCGAGCCTGGGGCAACTTTGGAATTTCGAAAAACGTCCATTGGGACAAAGACAGCGCCGAGGTTAGCTCTTTACAGCTCTTGGGGGCCTTCTCCAAGCTGTCCAAGTGTCTTGAAGCCTGATCTTATGGCACCTGGTGACTTCATATTGGCGTCATGGGCTCAATCAAGTCCTGTGGGTGTGGACTCAGGGAATCAGCTGTACAGCAGCTTCAATATCATATCTGGAACGTCCATGGCTTGCCCTCATGCAGCAGGAGTGGCAGCACTATTGAAGGGGGCTCACCCTGAATGGAGCCCTGCAGCCATTCGATCCGCTTTGATGACTACAGCCGATTTCTTAGATAACGCTCTGAACCCCATCCAAGTTGCTGGATACAAAAACAAAGCAGCCAGTCCTTTAGCCATGGGAGCTGGCCACATAAATCCAAACAAGGCATTGGACCCCGGCCTTATCTACGATGCAAGCACAGATGACTACGTCAGCCTCCTCTGCGCGTTGAATTACACCATGAATGAAATCAAAATGATCACAAGGTCTTCTGATTTCAATTGCTCAAACCCGTCTTTGGATCTTAACTACCCATCTTTCATCGCCTTCTTCAATGCCCAGGATTCGGGTTCAGATGCCAAAGTCGTGCAAGAATTTCAAAGGACGGTTACTAACGTTGGAGAAGGGATGTCAACATATACGGCTTATTTGACACCGATGGATGGTTTTCAGGTGGCTGTGGTGCCGGACACACTGGTATTCCGGGAAAAATACGAGAAGCTAAGCTACAAACTCAGTATTGAGGGTCCAACAAGGATGAAAGAGAAAGTGGTTCATGGTTCTATCAGCTGGACTGATTCTGGCGGTAAACATGTTGTTAGGAGTCCCATAGTGACTACAAGTCTTAGCTCAGAACCTCTGTGATCCGGGGACAGTTCACAGTTAAGTCTCTCTCTCTCTCTCCGGTTGGCCCAGTATTGATAAATCAAGCTTACTTGCTTGTAGTAGTTTATATTCATACAAATAAGAAATTAGAACTTTGCAGCACAGAGTTATGTCATTTCATCTGATATTTGACAACTTTCTTAATTTAGTTTTTACTTTTTGGCAACGAGAATCCATTAATTAAAAACCAGAAACAAGAGACAGGTAGCCCGTGATCCGCTAGCTTGGTTTTGAACTTTGAAGTCGACTCGCACAGCAGAGTGTTGGTTGGCCCCTCTTATCAACAGCTTGACTCCGGTCAACCTGACCAGAAACGTTCAGTTGATGCATCTTTGTCGATCGGGCTGAACTGATTTTTGTTTGTTTGTTTTTTCAGCACCAAGATGATCCTTCCCGAGACTAAATGTTTGCTTCCAAAGCTAATGATAGTCCTATACTAGGAAGCTCCAATAGACTAAATGTTTGCTTCCAAATCACAAGAAGGGGGGCATTTTAACTGTTGATCAATAACGTTAATCTTCTATCCATAGCATTGAGAGTTGTGTTGTGGTATATATTAATTAGCTGAAAATGACAAGAATATATTCTGAATGTTCTACCCATCCAACCAGCAATCTGATTCTTCAAGCTATTAGAAGAATATAAAAAAGGTAAAGGTCAAAAACAATTCAGCAATTAAACATATGTAATTTCATTTTTCTAATGATTTTCCCATGCAATGCCCCACAGTTGACTCCAGATAGACTTAAATTAAAAGAAATCTAAATTTAAATTAAAAGAAAATTAGTTGCGTAGATATATGGCAAATAGGAAGTTGGCATGCCTTATTCTGTGTTTAATTTGTTAAATTAATTAAAACATGTACGCAAACACTAAATTAGTCTTCAGAGGGATGAAGAAGAAGAAGAAAATTCATGGATGATTGGGCAATAAGTACAACTTTTATCCCCATTTTTGGAATAATTAATTACAGGATGGGCACCCTTACTAGATAACCTTGTCAAAAAGGCCGTTGCTTCTGCTGTGAAGGAGAACGGTGTTCTTAAAAAAATGAAAAAGAAAAAAGGGAGTGGTAGTGATACCTGGGGCCAATTCTTCTGTTGTTTTCCATTCTCCAACCAAGCAAAGAATAATTAACAACCGGAAATTTCTTGAGCTAGTCATCAAAGGCAATCAATCGTCCGAACCAAAAGCAAAAAGAAATTAAGGAATAGTGAATCAAGTTGAATATGGTTTCCTATTTAAGGAATAGTCCATCCAATGATGATATGTTTTTAAACTTTTTAATATTTTTTATATTTTTGTATATAAAAATAATTATTATTTATTACATTTATTTTTGTTTAATATAATGAATATATAGTATTAGAGATGTGTCCAAATGGTTTCTATAAAATATATTCATTTTTTAACTTTTTATGTGTTTTTAATATTTATTATTTAAGCATGACATGAAACATTAATACATTTGGCCTAAAATGTTGAAGTATATATTGACCTACCTCCAAACATGAGACCAACTTCACTTTTGGGTCAGTTTTGAATTTTTTTTATTTCATTACTATCATCAATAAAAACAATTCTTTTTAATTATATTTTTTCTTTAATATGATTAATAAAATATTGTCATTAATAAAATATTACAAATGTTTTCTACCAAATTTCTACATCATTTGTATTCTTTGTTTTTTATTTAATTATGATATCAAGGGCTGACACATTTGGCCCAAAAAGGTTAAATTGTTGACTCCCTATCAAATAGGCAAAACCATTTAACTTTTGGATCCACTTTTATTTTGTAATTCGTTTAATATGTTTAAAATATAACATTAGTGAATTTCTGTATTTTTATATTTTTTAAATTTTTATTATTTAATTCTAACATCAATGGTTGACACATTTGACCCAAAAGGTTGAACTATTGACCCACCACCAACTAGGAAAGGAATTTCATTTTTGGGCTGGTTTTAAAAATGTTTATTTCATTTCTAACATCAACAAAACAATTGTTGTTTTCCATTTGTGTTTTCCTTTAATATGGTTAATATAAAATATTAAAGATGTACCTAGTTTTCTACAATTCTTTTACTTTCTTGTAATGTTTTATATTTATTTTCCTTTTAAAGGTGTTATTATTTAACCATGGCATGGGTTTACCCATTTGATTTGGATGATTGAATTACTTACACACCAACAAGATGGAAGAATGGTGTCATTTTTGGGTTGGTTTTGAACATGGGTTTTATATTGCTAAATTAAAGTATTATATATATATATATATATATATATATATATAATTGACAAAATTTATTAGTGATAAAAGAATAAGTTAAACATTAGATATAATGCGAAAGAATGAGAATTAATACCTTAAATATAAAACTTAATGAGAAATAATTAAATGAGGTAAAAAAGTATTTCAAATTATATTTTCTGCCCTCAAAATTAGAGAGGAGACAAATTAAAAAATAAAAAATTAATATCTTGAATACTTTATGAGAGTAAATTAAATAAGATGAAACATAACAATTCAAATTACATTTTCTACCCTCACAATTAAATAGAGACCATATGAAAAAATAGGGGTACTTCACACTCTGATTCATACTTTTAATATAGTAGTATAGATTTATCTAAAACAATCCCTAAGGCCTCAGGATATTATTATTGTGTATGCAAATAATGATTGAAAAACAAAAATATTTATTTAAGCACCAACTTGTCCAAGTTGTATCAGAAACATCGCTCTAAGAGTGTAATATAGATGGCTGATTTGGATGAATATTAATGAAAAGAGCTCGATCCATCGTTTTCTACACATCCCAGTGATCTTCACCTACGATTACAATCATTTAATTTTCTAATTATTAGCCCCTAATATTGTTTTCCGAGTTGATGGACTACCTTTGTGTGTCTCGTCCAAGGGAAGTAATTATGTTCCGATCGTATGTCTCAACTAAAAGGCCGTTGTCTTGGAAGCAAAGGGGTCCATGTCATCATATTGAAAAGGAAACTTGGACCCTGAACAAAGAAACTGGATGCCCATCAAATTTCCAATCCAATCAGACCTTATCTAAGCATAAAGTTTTTATTTATCTCATCAGCGGGCCATGGGGTGTTAAATCTAATGCTGGAGTAATAAATATCCTGGCTGCCTCGTATTAACATGAAAATCAGCACAAGAAGATGCCTTCTCTCGTTGGCAATAAATAATCTCCTTACGCTCAAAAGTTTAATCTTGACCAAAGCTGTCTTCACACGTACGTTTATTGCTGTGATATGATGGACTGGTCGATTTATTTTGTTTCCTTCACTCTTCGCTCTTCACTCTTTATATAGTCTTCTGTCAGCCATTATTCATGACTTAAAGTCCTAGTGTCCTACCAATTAAATGAGAGTTATCAATCAATCAATCATCATTTCCCATTAATTTCAAAGCCTTGTAATTAAAGAAGAGTTTCATTCTTCTACGCATGCATTTTGTTTTGGCCAAATTTAGGAATTGGAAACACAGAGTCCCTCCTACGCTCCTAGCTCTGCACTATTTGTCTAGTAGGATGATGCTGCTACCTCTCTTGTCCTAGTTGCCGGTTTTCGTTTTATTCTACTACTGATCAATCAATGCGGTAATAGGTCCCACGTAGACCTGTTCATGCGCCGGGCCGGGCTTTGACTCTTTATTAACAGAAAATTGTTAGGCCCGAACCCGAGCCCGGCCCAACCAACGGGCCTACAACTTGGGCCCGAGCCCGGCCCTGATGAAAAACCCGAAGCCCGACCTAATAAAAGAAATTCAAAATTTTCTGACATTTTCTATTTTAATTTAAATGTTTTTTTTCCCCTATTTAAATGAACAATGGGTCTACAAGTGAATCAATGACCTCAAATCAAAACATTTATTCAAATAGACATCACATAGGGTTTTTACTTAGGTTTAACTATAGGTCGAGCCGGGTTTACTTAAATTTAACTATAAGTCGGGCCGGGCCGGGCTCGGGCCGGGCTATTTTGACAAAGCCCGAGCCCGGCTCGAATTTTATGCGGGTCGGGCTTTTTGGCCCGAGATTAAGCCCGCGGGCCAAAAATTCTGTTCAAGCCCGTCCGGGAGTCGGGCCGGCCCGTCGGGCCACCCGGCCCATGAACAGGTCTAGTGGACAGTGGAGAGTTGGGTCTGACCATTTTTATCAATCTTCAGTCGGGAAGGAGTACAAATACAAACATATGTATGCATATAAAATAATATAGAATACAAGGATTTGCAGTTTGTATTTGAACTGAAGATTAAGATTAATTGTAGTGAAAACCCACCAACCACCATCATGCCTGGGGATTGATCAAAATCTTTTTAACACGGAAATTTTTAGAGAATCATAATCCTTTGCATGATGCAGTCTGTATGATTTCATATATTGTACTTGTAGCGGAGATGATCTGAGTTTAATTAATTGTTGCCTTCTTTGGATTTGGAATTGAAGGAGTTTTGAGATTTGCAAAACAGCCCATTTCCTCCCATCCCAGTGTAGAGTGCAACTTGGGCGAACTTGAGTTGAGAATTTATTAAAATTTGAATGGACCTAGGATAATGCAGTGTAAAACAATTCTATAATTGGGTAATACCCTTATCCCAGGAGTAAAAATATAAACAATAAACACGTGGGGGCTGGAACCCAAAAAGCCCAGGCCCAGCCTATGAAGGGCAAACTAGAGTTATTGATTTACTTCCACTTATGAGCCGATCAATTTTTACTTTTATACATTTAAAAATATCAAAATGTAAAGTACATAAAATACTTTTACAAATGCTATATTATATTTTTCATATTTTTATAAAAATTTATCCAAACAGGGCTTAAATCATGAAGGCAAGAAATATGTTTTTTAGAACTGAATAGGACAGTATGAAAGAATATAAAAAGAACGGTTTCCAATCAAACTAGAAACCATCTGATTCTTCCTCTCTAAGCGAAACCATAGGACATGGTTACAAATGTTTACATGCATTGATGATGTTTGGATGTAACTCAATTTCTTTTTTTTTTTTTTATTTTAGTTCCCTTATCAGCTCGCTGCTTTATTAAGTTTTTTTGCATACAGCTTTATATAACATACCTTACTGGATATATAAGGCCTGAGTATCAATTTATTGTTAAAGAAGGAAAATGTGCA